CCTGAAATATTTCCCTACGTTTACAATGTTATCCCCTTGCCCCTTATTCTCAGCTGCAAAAATCTTTATTATAGGAGAAGCAATTTAGTTTTGTTCTTTTCCAGAAGGATATCATGTCTGCTTTCCTTGGTGCTGTGGTTCCTTGATCAGGCAGCCAGTTTGTTATAGGGCTGTGTGATGAGGGATTTTTTCCAAGGAAAATGTAAACAAAAACCAGGCCAGAACTTTTTTATTCTTAGTTTGCTTTACAAATAATCAGCTCCTCATCAGAGAATGTGAAGAGCTTCATCTAAAAAGAATTTAATTGAACAGATTTTTAGGAACATTTAATATATACCACAAGAAGGACAAATTTCATGAAATGTTTTGTTTTGTCAGAAACTCATTTTTCCCTGACAAATGGATTTCAGGGGAAATTTTCCAGAAGGCCTTGTTCATTGCTCTGTGTGACTGGAAATAAAATGAGAAGCCTGAACCAGGAGAAACAGACACACAAAAAAATTTTGTCAGCAAAGTTAATGTCTGATGGCAGCTGGCAAGGAACATATTTGGAATTCCTTGATCTCTTATTTGCTAAGGAAAGCTTACACAGACACTGTTCTACAATGGTCATGTCTGGTTTTAGACATTGCTGGAGTCCAGCACATCTCTACAGCCTGTTTTAACATCTCACTCATGATTTTAACTGGAAAAACAACACCCATGATCTTAACTTTGGTTTCTGGACATAAGAAGCATAAACCACAGTCGGGAGTTAAGCTGGGTAATTCTCGACCTGTTGAGGCAATTAATTTAACCTGTTTAAAAAACCAAAAAACCCAAACAAAACCAACTTTTTACAAATTCTTTTAACCACTCTTTGGCTCCTAAGTGAAGAACATTTTAAAGTGTTTTTAAAAGCATCTATGTTTTGATCCCTTTCATCCTGCATATCTGCTTAGCACTTGCTTTATATTTCAAGAGGACACCTGCTATTTGTTTTCATCATGGGAGACTCCTGAAGCACTGCTGTGCTGTTGGGAACCAGACTCCAGTCTGTTTGATGAAATGAATCTAAAAAGAACGAGAGGCCCTCTTGATGTAGCAGGCATGTGATCATAGATTTGGAGAATGCTCTTGATATCTGTTTGATCACATATGGGTTCTTTACACACTCTTAAAAAGTAAAAGCAGCAGCAGAGCTAACTCAAAGGAGAACCCCATCATGGCTCAGACTTAATGAGATCTTATTTTCCTTATATAATGAAATCATCCTCCCTGCTTTTATTTCCCCAGGAAGGCTTGGGGAGGTTGTAACAGAGGTGGATGCTGCCTGTTGCCATGAAACACAGCTGTTTGCAAGGCAGATAACTCTCTGATGAAGGGATTTAATTTTCTTCTCTATGGATGGGATGAAGCACCCTCCTGCACATCTCAGAAAGGGCTCTGTGTGTCTGTGTGTCTGTAGGAGGCTGCCTCAGTCATGTTAAATTCATGTTAGGTAGCACTTCCAGAAATGACTGGGAACTAGAGCTGTTGTTGATGCAAAAGGTCACAGACATTAATAGCCTGCAGAACAATTCCAGGGTGCAGAATTATTCACAGCTGCCAAAAGACAAAGGAAAAGAAAGAAAAGAACAAGGGAAAGAAAAGGTTTGAAACTATGGCATCTCTCTGTTATTACTGCTCTTATACTTTGGATTTTTTAAAAACACTCATCTTGGAGGGGAACTGGGGTGCTAATTCTGAGCTGTTTTCTGCTTTCATCTTTTAAACAGCAACAGGAAATGTATCTTTTTTTGCACTGCTTTTATTGCATTTAGAAGCTTTTGTGGAAATATGAACAGCAGTGAGTCTTGACGAAATACATGTTCTTCTGACTGAGAATAGCCTTTAAAGGGAGTCCAGTCTTTTTTTTTTTTTAAAGGCTCCAGACATAGACAGAAGAGGTGGAGGGTCAGAAAAGGGAAAGGGTGGAAGGGAAGAGGAGGAAAGCAGTGAAAAGGAAGGGAAGTTGTTGAAGATTCAGACAAGAATATAGGCTGTTCTTTAGGACTGAAAATATTTTGTTGCTCAAAGAAATTCAAATTCCTCTATATTTAAGGCTGGTTGTGTACTTGTGGCAGAGGCAGTGAAGGGAAAGGCATAGCTCTTGAAAGCCTTTTCAGAAAAAAAGGAATAAAAAGCACCAAGAATATCAAATGGTAAACTTTTGTCTGTGCTGTTTTCCTGCTCACCAAGACTCACAGCCCCCTCTTATTTTCCTCACAACCCCTTGCAGACACTCAGGGGTTCCAAGAAGGAGACAGAAAATAACAAAACATCTGTGTTTATAGCTAGATATATAGCTGGTATGATTTGATAGCCTAAGCTGGTAGCCAGTGTTAGGCATGATCCTCTTCTATGTACACTGGCATTTATTATGCCAACAAAGTCACAGATCAATCATTTTCACCCCTGCTGCTGACAGATCAGGTGTAGGCTTACAGCAAGTGAGGAATTGAGCAGATTAGGAGCTGGCTCTATTGTTCTGATTACAAATCACAAAGTCTTTGACTTGCTGAGTAAAATAGGAAGGCATTTTCTCTTTTTCCTTTCTGACTGAAAAATGGAATTACTGTTGTATTTTTAGCCACCCTTTCCCTTCCCACCAGCATGTGGGAAGCATGTCCTTCCCTTTAATACAGATCAATAGTTCTGTCCTTTCCAGCACATATTTTCAGAACTCCACCAGTCTGCACTCACCCTGTAAAAGGAGAAAGCCCTGGTCCTTATCTGCATCCTCTTCATCTGACAAGTGCACCCCCTGACTGGTTTTATATGTGTTTCCTCCACTGTTCCTCCTACAAAGAAATTTTTGTAAGGATGGCTCAGGAGACAGCCAATGGTCTGTAACAGCTTTCCCTCCTACATTTGCTTCCAGCAGTGATTATTGTCTTGTGCTCTTTGGGGGAAGTGAGTTCTCTTCATGGACCTGGCAGATAAGTATCTAAAGGATAGGATTCATGGATGGTAATTAATGGGCACAGCTGTAGTGGAATGTGGAGAACTGGAGCTGACTTTAGCTGTCTAATGCTCTGAGAATTGTATGGACTAAGTGCCCCTTCCTGGAGGTATTTTGGGCTGCATAAAAACTCAGTAGGTAATGGATAATGATTGTATTATTATTTTTTTTATTTTTTTTTGCTGTCCTTACCCCGTTCCTGCCATGTTTGAGTTGTCTGCAGAGTGCAGTGTGTTGTTAATTATCCCAGCACATAAGGAAGCACGAGCTGGCCTCTAATGAGTGCAACGAGGTCTTTCCATGTTTGTGCAGCGACTGAATCATCTGATGTATGGACACTTAATCAAGAACTTTTCCTAGGGACTTGCAATCAGATCCTGACACAAAAAAAAAAAAAGCCCCAAGCAACTCCTCCAAGCTAAAATAGCTAAAATAGGTGTTACTATTGCTAAGAAAATGCAATGGTTTGTAGTAGTTTAGCCAATGTTCCTACTCTAAATATCACCCAAGGGGTGTACATTAATTTGTCCAAACTATTGACATGACACACAGGATCAAATAACTGTCACTCTGAATAAAAAGGGGAAGGAGATGAAAATCTAGCCCAGAAAATCCTTTTTCTTCAAAGGGATAGAAAGTAAGAGTGTGTATTCCTGTTATGTGCCTGCTACTCTCCTATCCTGCCCTTTTCTTCCCTCTGGTCACTGGTAATCAAAACAGCCAGGGAATCTGAGACAGGCCTGATGGGGAATGAGAACCCATGTAAATATTGTCAGCATGCCTGCCTGACTCTGAATATCAGTTCATGCCTTGCAAGGTGGTGAAGAAAGCTGGAGAATTTATATTTAGCTCCTATTCAAGTGGCTGGTGTTTGATGGAGCATTGATTGTAGTTGTGGGTGTGTGTGGTGGTCTCAGATGAAGATGGTTATCATCTAAGGACCTAAGGAATGTTCAGGGATGTCAACCCTAACATTTAGCTTATGTAAATCATGACAAAGTTCAAAAAATTGTTATCTGCATCATGCTTCCATTAAACGTGATGTGGAGTATGTGGCTAAACGTATCGAGGTTCAAGCAGTAGTCATCACTAGAGGAGTGGAGATTTCACCACTGCTTTATGCAAAAAGGTATAGAAATATTTCTATAGTTATATTAATATTATAATCTATATTATAATATAGATTATTAGAATATAATAATTTATATTAATAGTAATTCATCTGCCTCTGTAAGAGTTCCAAAAAATCTTGTTAAATGGTTTTGTTTGTTTGTTTTTCTGTTGTTGTTTTTTGTGGGGTTTGTTTTGTTTTTGTTTTGTTGGGTTTTTTGTAGTAACTGAGGGCTAATTCCAGGGGACAGATCCTGTAGCAAACAGGCTGAGGTATCCCTGCTCAAATGTCAGCGATCCAAGTGCTGCATTTGGTGTTATATGACGTGAATATAAGCCCAGGCTCAAAGTGCACCAGAGGCTCCTTGGGATGGCAGGAACCTCATGCATTTGAAATGGTTCTACTTTAGCTATTACCCAAGCTGTTTTTAACTTTTTTCTTCATATTTATCTGCCATTATGTCAGAAATAATCTCATAACAGTCCTGGTGTCACCACTCCAAACTCCAGACTCAGGAATACCAAATTTCTGATGTGCTGTTCACCTGATCCCAGGAAGAGTGGATAAAGAAGCCCTGAGGATGTGTAGGCACCACTCACCAGGAGCAATGGGGATTGCAGAGGCTTTTTCTGCAGCAGGATTTCCTCTTCAGCAATTAAACAGAGGCCAGGAAACTGCTGAGATTCAAATGTCCACTTCAGCTGGCTGCAAGCTTTCCCTGGCAATGCTTGTACTTGACTTGCTCAGTCCTTGAAGAAGTCAGATTTTTTAAACAAAAAATCTTTAGGAAAATTCTGGTCCTCAGTTTTTCATGTTGGAGTCCCACAAAGTTCACAGAAAGGGCTTGCATGTGACAGGAAAGGCTTTTGCATGTGTTATTGCATCCTGTCTTTCCTTGTTTCACAGAGACCACGAGTGTTAACAGAAGTTGCATAAGGCAGAGAGTCTGACTGATTACATCCACTGTTTCTTTCCTGCTTTAAGTTGTCATGCAAGTATTTTGTGACAGCGCTTCTGAAAGACATAAGGAGGGACAAGTCTTAGGTAATGTTTTTTTATGTTTAAGTTTTATTGAAGTTTCAGCTCACTTGAGTTTGAAATTCACACTAAAGACAATCTGAGAAGAGAAAAAGGCATCTGTTGCTGACTGTCAGTATTTCATTCTCATTCAAATCATTGCAGGACAGGTTTGAAATGCAGCTGACATCTTCCTGAGGTGTTGACACTGCTTTATAGTTCCTCATCACTGTAAGATTAATAGAAGGGAAACACTATGGTTTTTCTTCCACTGGAAGATGTGGTGCAAGTATTTTGGGAGCACCAGCTCTCCATGAGACTGGCTTTAAGAACCAGCATGGTTTTGAAATTGATGTATAACAGACTGATGTATAACACACCATCTGAGGCATGGGAGGGGTTGCACAGCATGACAGGTATTTTGGTCCCCATGACAAACAGACTCATTTTGCAGCCACCATACTCTGGCTCGTTTTCAGGAGCCAAAGGGCTCTAGGAGATCACCCTGCAAGGCTGACCCAGCCTGGGGCTCTCCTCTTCATGCCCCTTCCCTCACACCAAGCCTGCATGGCCTCACTCCTGCCTTATCCTGGCAGAGACAGGAGCTGATGCCCAGGAGTTCCAAGCACCCCTCCCTGCCATGCAGAACAGGGGGTTGGCAGATGAGAAATATCTTTTTGAGGCTTGTGTGCCTTTGTGTGCCTCAAAAGGAGGCGCTCTCCAAGATGGGTGACCTCTGGGAGACTCCTGAGACAGTAAAAGGCAGAAAATCTTTCAGCTGGTGCCATTTAATAATGAAAACACATTTCAGCTCCTTGTTTGCAGCCACATGGATGGGCTGCCTTTTTCACTTGAAAAAGAAATCTTCCAGAGAGGGAGAATAACTGCTGTTTCTGAAAGAGTTTTGCTACATGAGCTGTAACAAACTGACAGCACTATAAAGCTATTTATAGATCCGTAGTTTCAGACCAGGATGCTCAATAAAGGCTGATGGAGTAGATTTATTATGTGAATTTAAGTTAACTTATGTAAAGGCATTGTTTCTCTGGGAAATCTGGTTCTTTTTTCCCCTTTTCTTAGGCAGTTTTTCCGAGCAATACTTTGACACCTGAACTACTTCTCCAGTGCAACAGGAATGAGGAAGGAAGTGTCCTTGATGCTCCCATTGGCACTAAATGGGAAGTCACACACTGATAAACTAAGGGTGAAGAAAATGTCTTTGGAGAGTTCTGATCTTCAGTGGTGTTTATACATCCTCTTTGGCTCTACTGCTTTCACCTAGTGCCTACTGACACACTCTAGTTACCTTCCCTGAGGTCAATAAACATTTCACTGGTTCATTTTGGGAATAGAAGCAGTGAGAATTTTCATGTTTTTCCTCCTCATTTTTCTTTGTCAGGGATGACACTTGGCTCATCTTCCTACTTGCAGTGCTTTAGTTTGATCACTCGACAGCGTCCATCTCATTCAGCTGCCAAAATATGCCTCCTTTTCAAGATATTGAGAACCTGCATCCCTTCTGTTCTGCAAATGAGACACAGTGGACTTGCTTTGCTGCTTTCCTGGGCACAACATGGGAAAGTTGTGCTGCTGGCAGCAGAACACAGCTGCTGGCATGGACTGGGACTGTGTAGGCACCCCTGCTCCTCATCAGGACACTGCATGCCAGTGAGGGGATGAGCTGCTGCTGCTGGAGCTGCCTGCCAGTGTGCAGTGAGTGCCTCCTGTGTTTGACACAGAGTGTGTGTAAAGGCTGCAACATTTGCAGGTTGGGCATTTTGCACCAAAGATTTTGGCCACAGGTACAAATACAATGTCAATTCTCTCAGGGAGAGACTTCTATGGCTGGAAAAGTGGTAAAAAAAAATATCTTAAATGTCTAAAGAGTGGGCAATTTACTAATAATGAGATATATTTGTTATGTTAGCCCACAGCTTTTTCACACCCAAGGCTTGCTGTGAGTATTTCAGTTCTTCCAATGTAGAGTGCAGAATAAGACATTATTTCTTCTAAATGTGTAGATATAAAAAATAAAAGTCTTTTGGCAAAGGAATGCCATGCTATTCAGCAAAGAGCTAGAGCAAACCACTTACTGCACCACTGAAACAGCAGAGGAGTGTGTCTTGGTAAACTAAATCTTTTGCCTGGCACAGATGCAACACTGATTAAGAAACTAGAAAGCTTTACAGCTGTGTCTGTTTACACAGGTCAGAGGGTCTTTGTTCAGTGTGGCTAATTATGTTGATTCTCAGAAATTCAGAGGACATGTGAAAAGTATGCTGGGAGCAGCTGTAATGACAATTGATATTAAGGGAAAAATTCCCCTTTGAATGGCTTGTCAAGTGTTGGAACAGACTGCTCAGGGAAGCAGTCGAGTCACCATCTCTGGAGGTGTTTAAAGATGCATAGATGTGGCACTTAGGGACATGATTTAGAGGTGGATTTGGCAGTGCCAGGTTAGTGGTTGGACTTGATGGCTTTTCCAAGGGTCTTCTCCAAGCTAAACTGTTCCAAGATCCTGTGACAAGAGTAACAGCAATTGGGAAATTGTGCTGTACATCACATCTTTCTTTTGGTTACCAAGTAATTGGTTTTGCATAAAATGTTCACAGTGCTTGCCTGAAGTCTGTGTGCAAACACAGGAAAAGTCCTTTGAAGGCTCACTGGGAGGGCAATTTGGGTATTTTGTTGTTACTAAAACCCTCCTGAGTTCATGCTGATATGTACAAGTCATTCAAAAAGATACCTTCTAACGGGAAAAACCTTTGCAGAAGGGAAAAATCAGTGTAAAACATGCTAAAACCTGAATTGTAGTGGGGGGAAAAAATCACAGAAAGATTTGTTTTGTCCATTCAAATCAAACATTTGTATCTGGCTTTGTATAGTTTCAGGCATCCCAAATTTTCCTTTTTAAAAATACTACCAATTGGTACAAAGGAGGTTCAGCTCCTTGCTGATAACAGGATAACTGTGTGAGTGAAGAGTTATGTGAGGCTCCCCCTGTCCATCCTGCCAGAGATGATAGGGCAGCCTCCTGGGTGAGTGTGTGCAGTGCTCTTTGATAAATGGCCTGAATTTGTGGGTAGCCAGCAATAAAAACTGGCAGATTTACATTCTTGCGAGCACTCAAGCAGTCATCAGGGAATATGTCCAGCTTAAAGCATTTCAAAATTAATGAGCCAGAATTCCAAAATCATTGAGAAGCTTGTGTAAATAATGATTAGGAAAAAAGTTGATCCTTTGCTTTCTGATGCTTTAAACTACATATAACTGCAGTTTGTTTGTTTGCTTGTTTTCCACTGACCACCTGAAGTTTGTTGTGAGGCTGACATCTCTCACATGAACACCCCTTTCCACCAGAATAAGATTGGAAAATGTGAATGCTCATGGTGAAACTCATACTGCTGTTCCTCCCCAACACTTTAGGGAAAAGATTGTATGCTGTTTTGGATACCTAAGCTCTAGAGTCAACCCCCAGTTTTTGCAGCGTGGCTTATTCCAAACAATAAGACATTCATGTTTTCCACCTTTGCCTCAAGTTTGCTCTCCATTCTCCAGCTCCCTTGTGACAGCCAGCCAGGGGTTGGAGATGTCACTGTTGCATCTGACCAAGACAGGTGCGGATATTTCTGTACTGCTTTGGTTTTTCAGCCAAAATCTACCACAAGTCTGTAGCCATCCAGACTGGGGAAAGTGAGATGGGGTTTTTTTGTGCCCGGGTTTGTGCTACATGAGCTGAGTTTCTACAAACCTGTCCTTGCCCAGCTGAGCTCAGCATCGCCCGCATTACCGCCGGCTCTCACTTGAGGGCCACAGATCTTCAGTTTAGCAGCTCCTGCCTTCCTCAGATTTATTCCTTGGAAAGGGAGCGGGATTGCTCTCTGTCTCGTGGTAGCATTAATTTTCGAGCAGAAGGCAGGGTGATCAATAACCTATTCTTCTGGCAGTTTTACTTAGTTTATTCCTGTGTCAGGTATTAGTTTCCTCAGCAATTTTACCACCTGCAGGGTTGATGTCATCCATTCAGCCTGGCATGACCATTGGCTTGCCCCTAACCCTGGCGTGTCACACCAGTCTCCATGTGGCCCTGAGCCACAGCAGAGCTTGGCATGCTAGGTAAGATTAAATAATTCAGAGCTGCGTGTAATTAGCCATCCCTGAACTAAGCAATCATTTGTGATTTATCCCAAAGCATTCAGCTGTTTCCATCTACCTGTACAGCTCTGTTGAGTTAGGGAGCTGCAGAAGCTGAACCCAACAGTTCTGCACGTTCCAAGCTGTGTTGTGGCATGTTCCTCTTTTGCTGAAAGAGCTGAAAGGTCAGATTTTGAGGTCCTTATTCAGAAAGGTTAAACAAAAAAGGCCTCTCTAGTAAGAACGTATGTTTAATTTTTATTTTATCACAAAAGGGGATAGTGTCAAAGTAAAAGCACCTGAACTTAATGAGATAAACGGCTTAAAGTCACAATTCTATTTTCCTCATTTAGAACAAAATCAGCAAAAGTTGCCAAACAGACCAAGAAGGATCCCTTTGCAACCACCTAAAGTGTGGGCTGTGCCTGGCAGAGGAACTGCACGCACATCTGCCTTTCCAGCTCTGACCAAGGAAGCTGTCTGTCCCTCATGGTAGCTCTGTCATTTAATACTGTTTAAAACCATAGAACATAATGTAATTTTGTACTCTTAAGTGGCAGCAGACAGACAAGGAAAGAAAAAAATGGACAGCCTCTAATCTCATAGAACAATCACATTTTCTGTGACAGATATTGTCTATATTTCTCTTTTGTTTTTCAGAGTATTTATGTACATGGAAGAGGACCTCTGTTTCCTGAGAGATCATCTGTCCCTGCTGCTTATACCATATTTGATGTCATGATCTTGGTTGCTGTGGAAATGATTAAGCTGTCATCAACAGATGCAGATGGGGAATAAGCTCAGGGAGAAGATGACACAACATTCCTTCTTTTATGCAAATGTGTGCAGTTAAGAATGGCAAACAAACAACCAAAATATAGAGACAA